CTATATATTCTTAATACAGGATTGATCTGGCAAAGGCCAATAAAAACATATGTGATAAAAATGCTTCTGAAAACTGCAGTACACTGCATGAACATTTACAACCATCAAGACTTTGCCACCCACATTTCCACCAATTCTCCTAAAAACTAGAGGAGAAAGCAATAACCATTACAGATGTTATTCACCTGTTGTACTGAAGCCTTGGTTAACTGAAATACTCAGGTCAAGAGATCCAGTTAATATTTAACACATTTCTGTCAGTGCTGTGAAAAACTTCTTAGAGTCTTTCCTTAGTAAATGCATAACTTATATTTGACACCAAGGGATTTTTCATGTTAAATCAACATTTTGATTATGTATCCCTTCAGTGCAGACTTATATAAATAATCTATGTTCTATCTTGACCTCAAAAACCCAAAGTTTCTTGTTTACATTTTTGGGGGGCAGGAGAAATTATTTCATGATCAATGGAAGCAAATAGTTTATCCAAATATAGGTCCTCTAAAACCTTAGTCATTTATAAGTTGTTTGGAACTTGAAATGCTGTTCTCTCTAGAAAAATAATAAGTTATGAATCATAACTAAGTTCTATACCTTGAAATATATCTGTTAATCTTCTAACACACACACATTTTTCAATGGTTATTTGTAATGCCTAAAATACTATTTAATACTGCCTATAAAACTATTTAATTTTAAATATTGGTATCAGGAAGAGAAAGAGTAGTTAGGGAAAATAAGGAGTTGGAAATTTCTGTACTTATTTGAGAATGGATAGTGGCCTCCAGTTCTTATTATCCATGGTGTTTAACGCACGCAACACGGCCATGAAAGTTATTGCTCAGAGTTATGATTAAGGTGTTATAGGGACAGGAGGTGACAAAAGTAAAATATAAGAGAAATCAGAGGGATGTTGAAAAGGTGGTTATGTTTCCAAGAAAGAGACCGCATGGAGTACAAACAAAGCTCGGCTATAGAAAGTATGACAGGAGTAGTAGAACATACCTCAAGGCAAAGGAGAAGAATTAGAAAACAAGACTGACGAAAACATCTGTAAGAGTCCCCACGGCTGAATTCAGGGTGAGGGGGCAGAGTTACCAAAGCAAAAGAAGTCTTGGCATAAATGGGGAAGGTTTACTGTGGCTCTTTTAGATAGACTGGCCTGGCCACACCTGAGTTGTGTGTGCCAAAGGGAAAACTCAGGGTTACATTTCTGATTCTGAATCCAAATTAAGACAGGCTTAGCATGGGCTCTGCTTAGGCATGCAGGCTCTCATTCATCCTGTTCATTCATGACCTCTTCTATCACTGTCATCCAAATAAAATACTATCCCAGTTTTTTTTCTTACCCCTGCAATTAGAGCCAAGTGCCAAGCATATTTGGATTCCTCACATTCCGAGTTCATAACTGAGTGTTCTGTCTTCACATCTTGTCTTTTCTCAACACAAAGTGTGATTCTAACTAGAACTGGGTTGTGTGTGTTCAACCAACCAAATGCTGATGAATGTGAGGGACTGACAAAGAACCACCCAAAACACAACACCTACCAGGATTCCTCCGTCCTTTGGGTATATCAGAGCATAAACAAATACCGTTAGCGACAAATTTTAGACTGTTCCAGCTTTGAAGACCGTCTTGTCATTTTGAAATAAAATGCTAAAACTATGGCTAGGCATATATTAAATCTGAAAGTCAACGGGTAATGTCAATCCAAAGCCAAGAGGGGGTTATTCTGAACTCTTCAATCTATAGTCTAATGGGAAGGGGAAGGAAGCTAAGAGAATGAACCTGCATTCCCATGTTTCAGTAGGTCAAGGTCAATTTCAGTTTCTTAGAAAGAACCCTTTTATGGAAAGGTCAAAGCGGTCTTCAGTTCACTATCTACAGCAAAGCCTGTGTCATATAGCACATCTCTAGCTCCACAATTACAGGAGAAGGTTGCAAACTCATAAAAGTAATGCATTAGCAGGCCTAACAGGAACATGTATTGCAATATACTTGAAAGCTACCAGTCCTTTTAAAACTATATTGGAAACAAGGATATTCCAGATATTTACTTGAGCCCAACTTTAGAAGTAGTTATTTCAGTTCAAACTTGATCTGGAACCATGGAAAGGCATTCCACACCTAATACTTCTATACCTTGGATTGTAAATATCTACCCAAAGCTTCATGAGCTAAAAGTCATGATCCTCAGGACAGTGCAACTGGGAGGTGGTAGATTTGGGAAACTACCCCGTGGGAGATTCTTGGGTCATAGATGGTTCGCACTCAAAGAGGGCTGTGGGATTCTAGGCTCTATCTATGTTTGCTTGATCCATCCCTGTTCCCCATCACAATCACCCACTGTTCTCATCAGAGACCCAAAGTGATGCAACCTTGGTAAAACTATCTAACTCAACCTTTTCTCTTTGCAACTTAACTGCCAACATAGTTTACCACAGTCAGGGAAAGCTAACACACATGTCATAAAGGACAATGAGAGTAGTGCTTGCTTTTCTCTCTTGCTCTTTTTCTTAGTCCTGCTGAGGACCTAGGCATAATCATTACCGATGCCCAGGACCAAGGTTCTGAGTAAGCATCACCAGGGGAATCAAGGCTAGGACCAGATCCCCCTTTCTTCATTTACTCATATGAAACTACACTCTTTTCATTAATAAGAGAAAATCGGACAAAAGTGCAAAATGGCATCACCACTGTTTCCATCCCTACACTGCAAGGTAACCCTATGATTGTCACATTGAATTGAAATCCTGTAGTTAGGAAGTCAGGAGGTGGGGGGGATCTCTCCTGATCCCAACCTTGGGATGCAATTAGTCCAACCTGATTCTTCAGCTTTGTACAAAATGTGCTGATACTTAATCCAAGAAAAGAAACAAGATAAATCCAATAATTATAGTTTTCTCTAGAAAACACATGCCAGAGCTCTTTGATGACAGTTGTCAAATTCCTTTGAGGGCCTCAGATGAACGGCTATTAAAGCAGGAGAGGAAAAGAGAAAGAACAGGTTTCACTTCCAGTTCAGTCCTGAACTAAGAGCTTCAGTGATAAATCAAACACCTTGGTGTATGTTTGAGTTTTATGTCTCACAGTAGTCCACCAAAAGACCTGCCAGTGGGGCTGGAAGGGTGGTGGAGCAGGTAAGCACACTTGTCACTCTTGCAGAGGACCCAGGCTCAGTTCCCAGCACTCACGTGGTGGCTCACAAGCATCTGTAAACTATAGTTCCAAGGGATCTGACACCCTCTTCTGGCCTCTGTCAATACAAGGCACACACGGTGTACAAACATATACATAGGCCAAACACTCATCCTCATAAATTACAAATACATAAATTTTTCAAAATGATCTGGGACAAGGATTCTTTCTAATTCAATATATATGTTACATAAAAAATGAATATATATATATATGTTACATAAAAATTTCATATATTCAACTATACCAAATACTCATAGCAGATGTGCTTGAGGAAATTCTAGGGTATATTCCCGACACTTTCTCAGAGGCATGTCATCAGAGCCATTCACAATGATAGAATGCTATCCAACCACCTGATGACAGAGGTCAAGGACTGAAAGCTGTGTTCTAAAGATGAACACTTGCTGAAATCTACAGCAGGCCTATACACAAACTGGTAAAACTGAATTCAGCAACCGGTGACCCCTTAAAGACTTATAGTAAGCATATAAACATGTTTTACATTAGAATTTCAGCAATATTATGTGTTTGTTTAGTGAGTATTTCAATTATGCTAAGTACCTAAGGGCACTGATACTCAGTATTTTAAGTAGTCATGTAACTCCTAAGGTCTTCCATTAAAGAAAAAAAACCCAAAAGACTCACTAGACACAAACTAAATAAATGCCCATCAACATTGTATGAGTGACATATGATACAAAATTATACACCAAGATGCAGCAGCCTGTGGTTTGGGTGACTTCTCCTCTGAACCTCAGACTTATTTTTAAGAACTAAGGATATGACACCATCTCTTAAGTCTAGAAATTCTTGTCCTTAAAGTCCTAAGGTGTCTGCATAGAACCTTAAATATAGTGGAAATGGACATGATTGCAAAAAGCATCAGAAATGGGAGTTTTCAACAAAACACTGCTCAAGTTATAACCTGTGGCAATGTATTAGGATACACTATTCACAGAAAGCTGTGGTTTACACATACTATAAAATTACTACATCTTCCTTTGGTTCTGAATTTACTGCCCCTCCCCCACTGCTCCATTTGAGAGCCAGAGAAACTATACCATGTGCAAGAGAATCGGTGTTTCCATTTTAACACAACAAAACTGACGTTGGGAAGGACAGAACAAGTCCCCCAAGAACTTAGGAGGACCAGGAGACTTAGCCTCTGATACAAGGAAAATACCGAGTGAAAACCAGCGTCCTGTTTCCAAAAGTTGGCTGTTGATCCTGCAACTGTCCTAACAAAATAGCAGAGAAATACAGCAGGCAGCCGTGCCAGCAACACAAACAGTGCAGCCTGTGGTTAAAAGAGTGAGCAATGAATCCCAGGCTGCTTCCCAGTCACATAATGTGAATATTGAACGGGGCTTCTAAGCAGCTGCAAGGAAATATCCGGACAAAGACAAATCAGGGCGTTTTCTAAAATTCCCGATACTTTAAAAAGCTGTGATAAATCCTTTCAACTCTAATGAATTCATCTAAAGCCCTGAACACCTGCACCCTGAACACCAGGCCACCCAAACGGTTACAAACGTCGCTGCACTTTCCAAAGACTACTTGGTCATTTTTTTGCCTTTAGATATCCCTGTACTTTCTGCAGGAAGGGGAGGGTATTTCAAGGTGACTATTTTAGCAGTTTGCTCCCGCGGGGCAAGGGGCAGAGACCCGGCAGGTCCCCGCGTACTGGCACAAGAGGCGCCCATGCTCTCTCTGGCACCTGGGTGCTGACCGTGCTCTCTGTTCTTTCTGCTCTCCCTTGCTCCTTCCCTGGGTGTCGGGTCGCGGCTAGCGCACCTACCAGCGACAACACTTTGTAGGTGTTGGGGTCCTTGGCTGTGCGGCCGCGCTCCGCCTTCTCCAGCGGCTCCTCCCCTAGGTCCATGGGTGCCAGCAGCGAAGCTGCGGCTGGTGACTCCGGCTCGCGGCCGTTCCCGGCCGGGCCATGCCGGGGCCCGTGCCCTGCCTGGTCGCCTTCGCGCTCCATCGTTCCGCTCTGCCCCCTCTGGCCGTGCTTTAATAGGCTCGCGGCCCCGCCCCGTACCGCACCGCCCCCGCCGGACCCTTGGCTCCCAGCCCTCGGCCAGCGCTCTGGCCCGAGCGGCTCAACGCCCCGGATTATTTGGCTTCCTGTCTGATTTCGGGCCCTGGGCGCGTGGGTTATTTTGGGTTCCCTGACGTGGGCGTGTCTTTAACTTCCACCCCAAACCCTCTCCCCGCCCGCGACCGTGGCACCCTACGAACCCTTGCAGGAATCGCCCCGCGTGGCCTCGCCGCGAGGGCTGGACTGGAATGGCTGTGTGGTCTGCAGAGGGCATGAGATCATGGAGCCCCAAAATAGAGCCCTGAGAGGATGCGGCGGCACAGAGGTCTCAAAGGCGGGAGGCTGGAGGCTTCCTCCAGACTGCGCGTTTCTCAGGTGAAATGCAAATGAGCGCGTGGAGAATCGACTTTCTTTTTCTACCGGGAGCACAGACGAGAATTCCCTGCTCCGAGCTACTCAACATGGGACAGAGTGTATGCACACCACTGATGGGTTTGCATAAACACACATATAGTACATGTGGCTTCTGGGGTTGCTGTCTTAGTATGTCTATTAGTTATTGTAGACTTCCGGAGGTTTCCAGGTGTCTGTGCCGTGCTCCCTCGCGGTCAGCACTTTTAGTTGGTGAGCAATATCAAGAACTGTCAATCTGTGGCTCCATCTGGTACGCTTTATTTCTGAAGCCGTATATGAGCAGTAGACTGTAATTCTTGATGGGTTTTGTTCCTCCTTTGATTCAGCTTTACCAGTCCCCTCCCAGCAGCAAAACCACACCTTCCTGCAGTCCCCCGAGGCAGAAGCAAGGTGACCAATCACAGTGACTAAGGAAAATCCTACTTTCATAAGTCACCTTTTTGTTACCTTTGTTTACATACACATATACATTTATATGTGAAAATGGATGTTCAGTGGGTGTTAATTGGATCCCCTTAAAAACTGTCAACAGTGAATTGGCAAGTAAAGGGCTCTGAAATCAAGCTTGGGGACCTGAGGGGAAATGCCAAACCCAAGTAAAAACCCTGTAGCCTGAGTTTGTAATGCCAAATCTGAGAGGCAAAGACAGATGGATCTCGGTGTATGGGTGGCCAGACAGCCAGCCTACTCGCTAAGTTCCAGGCTAATGAGCTAATGAGTAACTGTCTCAGAGAGAGAGAGAGAGAGAGAGAGAGAGAGAGAGAGAGAGAGAGAGAGAGAGAGAGAGAGAGAGAGAGAGAGAGAGAGAGAGAGAGAGAGAGAGAGAGAGAGAGAGAGAGAGAGAGAGAGAGAGAGAGAGAGAGAGAGAGAGAGAGAGAGAGAGAGAGAGAGAGAGAGAGAGAGAGAGAGAGAGAGAGAGAGAGAGAGAGAGAGAGAGAGAGAGAGAGAGAGAGAGAGAGAGAGAGAGAGAGAGAGAGAGAGAGAGAGAGAGAGAGAGAGAGAGAGAGAGAGAGAGAGAGAGAGAGAGAGAGAGAGAGAGAGAGAGAGAGAGAGAGAGAGAGAGAGAGAGAGAGAGAGAGAGAGAGAGAGAGAGAGAGGTGAGCCCCCCTCCAGAAGAATGACAGACAAGGTAGTTTCAACCTCAGCTTTCATATATGGATGTGGGTGCAAATGCGAACACACACACACACAACACGATAAATAAAAAGTAAGTTAAGACAATGTGGAGACTTTCAACTTACACTGACTTCATTGAGTCAGGCATTTAATAATGAACATTTCAATATTTTAAATGTCATATATCAAAAACTGGTAAACTATAACTCTCTCAAAGAGGGTCAGTCAAGCAGGAGGGCAGAGTAGGAGCAACACATAGTGAGAAGGATCAATATATAGGTACTCAAGTCACCCGTATGTAATGGAGCCACACAGACTATATTGAGAGATGAGCAGAACAGATGACTGACAGAAGAAACAGCCACCTCTGAAAGCAATTGGTAATTAATTTTTTATTAATGTCACCACTGAGTCAGCTTACAAACCACCCACGAGAAACAGGTTTTTCACTATTTCATACTCAAACATACTTCTTTTCTTTTTTTACCCCAAACTTGGTTCCAATTTTTTCTTCAACTGTTTCCAGAATCCAGACTGAAGGACAAGGCTTCACTCTACTGAAACTGGCCAAATTCATGTCATAATTTCTAAAAAGCACTCAACTTTCAAAAGTGGTCTTGAGTCTGAAAAAAGAATATTATAAGTGCATTGTCTGCAACCCGAAGCAACCAGTGACTCTTATGCTGCCCTCATTGGAAAAGTCGAAGCCATTTGAAAGGTGACAATGTCTCAGGGATCTGGGGACTACCAGGAACAATAAACGGACTAGGCAGCCCCCTATAGACATGACAGAAAATGAGCAAGTTGCCCTGTTGGTAACAGTTGCAACAATTACTCAAGGATCATATGCCTAAGGTAGAGATTCCTTTTTTTAATAAGTAGGAAATTGAAATGTTTTTGTGAATTCTCTAGGGCATAAAATATTGTGCACACCAAAAAAAAGTTTTTAAACACTTTAAAGGCCAAACACAGTGTAACACATCTGCAGGGTGGACCTAGGAGATAGGCCACCAGGATGTGGCTTCTGCCTGTGATGATGCCTCGTCTGAACCAGTCAGGTTTTTATGGGTAGTTAGAGAAACCCAATTATAGCTCTAAAATCAGAAGAATACAATCATGTCCATCATGCCTCTCGTGTTGTTTAGTCACAGATATGGCACGGCCTTTGATGAAGTCTTGCCTTGGTCTTGTTTTTTCTGAATGATCAGGACCACAGCATCTCATTCCAAAGAACAATAAGATCGCAGGACATAAAACAGCTGCACAGCTTCTCTGGGTACACTAAAGATGAAAAATCAGTGTCTGGTCTCTAGTCTGAAATCACCTGCTTCCAGGACTCACTTAGCACAATAACAAAGATGATACGTAAGAATTGAAGAGTTTTTTTGTTTTATTATAAAATATGAGTACTTATATTTGTGCATCTTGGCATCTGAAATGGTAGATGTTGCTAAGGCCAAAATGCCAAACAAAACCAGTCCATCTGGAAGGGAACGATGTCATCTCAAGGCTGAGAAAAGCTAGCTTCTCAAATTTGAAATGTGCTGATGAGTTTAGCAGCAGTTGTTGCGCTCTCCAGCTCTCTCCACTTGGCCAGTGTAACACTGAAAACATCAAGGCAGATCTAAAAGGAGAAAGCCACAGAGGATTTTCCTCTGCATGAGGCCCAGAAAAAAATAATATCATGGCTTTTGTTTATTTTTAAGATTTTGGGTGACATCCTGATCTATCTTCCTTTTTTCTTCTTCCCTTCCTTCCTTCCTCCCTCCCTCCCTTCCTTTCCTTCTTTCGTCTTCCTTGTCTTTCCTTTTTCTTTCTTTCTTTCTTTCTTTCTTTCTTTTATTTTTAAATACAACCCTCTGCAGCAAAGGTTTAGGCAGCTTTGAATATATTCCCAGTCTTTAACCCTTTCTTCGCTTACAGTCTGATCTGAAAATGCACTGTTGCCTCCAAGTACCAAAGAATTGTTTTGCATTTACACCAAATTTATCTGAAAATTCCAGTCTATTCTTTTCATAGTTAAATCACTCGATCACTGTGCCTAAGAGAGTAAAGAACTATTATTAGATTATGTGTATCTTACACATAACCTTGAGTAAGAGAGCTGCTTTGGGTCATGTGTGCAACAAGGGGAGGCAATATTTCACATTAGAGCTGTATATAATCTTTGCCACTACCAACACCTCTACTTCAAACAAAACCTGGCATTGTTAGATTATTGAAATTTATTGACTTTGTAAAATTGACTAAGGATATGTTAATAACATTATTAACAAGTAACTTATTAGGAACAGTTTTAACTAATGTGCAAATCATAGCATTTACCCATACAGTTAAGTAACTATTAGTATAATCCACTTTAGAAATCTGTTCATCACCTGAGGAAGTTCCTTCCTATGAATTTGTAGTCCAAAACCTACTTCTGAGTTGGAGAGATGGCTCGGTGTTTAAGAACACATGCTAAAATTGCAGAGAACTGGAGTTCAGTTTCCAACTTATGTCTGCCTATGACTCCATCTCCAGGGAGATCAAGTGTGTCTGGCCTCCAAGAATGTTGGCACTCATATGCACACACACAAATTCACACTTAAAAATAATAAAAATAAATCTAAAGATACTGCTTCCACTTTAGCCCCAATTTTAAAAGGGGGGCTCCATTTTCCATCTATGAATTTGTATTTTCTAAGAAATTCATATAAATAGTGCCATACTGTTGTGGAATGTCTGCTAACACTGTTAAGACTTGTCTTTGCCAAGGCACTTCCTGATTGGTTTAATAAAAAGCTGAATAGCCAAGAGCTACGTAGGAAGAGGTACAGAAAGGACTCTGGGAAGAAAGGCGGAATCGCCAGCCAGATGCAGAGGAAGCAGGATGGGCAGTACAGAGTAAAGATAACTGAGCCATGTAAAAGTACATAAATTAATAGATATGGGTTACTTTGAGTTATAAGAACTAGTTAGGAACAACTGTAAGCTAATGTCCAGCTTTTGTAATTAATAATAAGTCTCCGTCTCATTATTTTTGAGCTAGAAGTCAAAAGAAATGTACGTCTACACCATACAGTAAGATCTTTTGTGTCTGGCTTCATTCACTTGGCAGAATCTTTAGTAGTCTATCCATGCTTACACATATAGCAGTGGTTCTTTATTAGGAAATATATCATTTATCTTTTGCCAGCCACTGAATATTTGTATCATTCCCATTCCGAGCTATTATGAGTAGCCCTGCTCTGGACATTCACAGCGTGTCCTTGGGAATCTGTATTTTCATTTGTGCTGAGTCATTAACTGAGAGTTGAAATGGGATTGTTGAACCAGGGGTCAAACGTGTTTCTGACTTTTTGAAAGCTTCAGTGTATCAGTTACTTTTCCTTTTCTGTGACAAAAAAAAATTTGACAAAAGCCACATAAGA